CTTTGTAACTTTCTGAGAGTGTTATATATGATGAAACTAAAACCCGAGAAGGATAGGTAATTTTTTTTTTTCTTATTACGTGACATCGGTACATAATTGGACGTTTCTATTGCAAGTAAGTTCCTGTGTGTCTACGTGAAGCTGTGTGGAGTTCAATTTGTTTATCACATGGCGGATAGGGACCCAAGAAGAGGTAGCGAGCACCTTGAACAATAATTCTGCCGGAAAACGTTGGATCAGGCGTTCATTGAGCTCGTCACGTAATCTTCCTCTCCCATTCGTGGGGTGCGTGACGAACCCAAAGAGAGTCTGCGTTGGAGGTTAGTATTAAATCAAGTTAAATTCTACGTTGCGTCGCGGTTTTGTCTTTGTTTTTCTTCGTGTACAGAGTCACCGGAGCGCGGCAATTACCTACGGGTGCTATGCCACACAACACGTCTAATAATTTGTGACGATTATGTAAACATTTACATTTTCAAGATGGCGGCCATTATCCAACCATGTGGAGAAATGGAACAATCTACAGTCTTGAGATCGATTCTGGACGTTACCATCAGTTACAGTGGGTGTGTTTAAAACACGAAATGGTGAAATGACAGAATGTCACTACAGTTAGCCCAAATAGCGCACCCGTTATCCTTGATTACTATCACCCAACTAGTGGACTAATGCAAATTCTGCATTCTAATTGGTTACGCTACTAGAGGACTATAGCGAAATTGGCGCAATCGCGCGTGACTCTTTCTTTCGTTTTATTTCCAAACAAATATTTCTTCAACTTGCATTTGCTTACTTTATTATTACCTTCTCTGTCCGACTAGTGGGGTGATACTAAAACAATTAAACCCTTCGTCCTCAAGGGGCACCGTTCAATAGCCCATTCGGCTTCGCCTCATGGGCTATTGATCTGTAGCCCTAGCGGGCTACGGGTCTAATTGTTAAATATCACCGACCCAGCAGTTGTTAGCTGTCAATAGTTGTAAGGCAGACTTAACCCTTACAGACACCCGTATTCCTCGGCCGTATCCCACAATGAATCTTACCCGTACTGTCATTCATCTTTTCGCCATTTCACGTTTTAAGCGTAATAAGCCTGATCACGCTCTATTCGTGGTGTAATTTCTCAAAGCGTAGCAAGAGATCAGGCATTATTTGCATAAACATGTGCTGATCCGACCGCGAATAGAAACTAAATTCACAGCTACTTACTTTACATCGCTTACAGGTCAGTTGTTACAATCGCTCCTTGCTCAATCACGTAACATTTATAATTGCGTGAAAAAATATGCGAAGAGTAAGAGCCAGCAATAATCATACTCGATTACATACAACTGAATTTCGAACTCATCGAGACAAGGAGTTATATTTCAAAAATCGCACAGCTAGCCACGTTCTCCGGTCGCATGCATGATATTGCAGTGCGAATTTAATTTGACTTTAAAGAGTAATGCAATAGCCCCGATGAGTAATAAGGTTAGAACGGTTAGCGAATATTACAGTGTATCTACTCATAGTTAGTAATCCCTCTAGTAGCGTAGCCAATCAAAATGCAGGATTTGCATTAGTCCACTAGTTGGGTGACACTAATGTGTGATAGTTCACCACTAAATTTTCTCCGATTCGTATTGGTTTAAATTGATCACCTGACGTGATAGTGTTCGTCCGTGGAGCCATATAGTGCCCGTCCGCGGAAAACACCCGGATGGATAATACTCTTCGGTTAAAATTTTTCTGTAAACAAGGGGGCTTGTAGAAAATAAAGAATTGAAATATTATTAAGTCGGTGTTTGTCTGTTTTTTTCCTTCAAATTTTACATTTGGCCGTCACGGCTGTCATCTAAAAAAGTTGAAAATAATTCAATATGATTCTCGAACTGGCCCGCGAAAGAAAATTTGGTGGTGAACAACAAAGACAAAAAAGTGTTTTTGTCTGGGAACTATCGGTTTGATTGTTGTCCCTTGGAAATTTGATATTATTAAAACTAGCATATTTGCCTTCTCGGGCAAATGTTTGTTTTAAGAACATCAAATTTCCGCGGGGCAACTATCGGCCGATAGTTCCTCGAGAGAAACACTCTATTGTTTAAATACAAATCTCGAGCTCATAATCCAATTGTTTAATAGAAACACGATTTTAAACCAATCAGCGCGCGTATTTTCTTTTGCTATTTTGAAATGAGCATGATTATCATCTAAGACTCCTTTTCTAGCTCTTCGATTAAAGTACCTGGTATTTTTCATTTAATTGAGTATTCTACCACGTTTCATTTTATTGTTATCATAAACAACGACGATGAAAAATATTATTTTTATATGTTTCTCGTATATCTCAGAAAAATCCAGATCCATGCAGTTTTCATTACTAGCCTGTCCTCAGCATACTGCTCAATAGCATATACAGCTGACAATTAAAATAAAAACAACAACGACAAAAACACTCCCCGACACGTGCCACGTTAAACTGGTACTTTAAGGTCACACAGGACCACTACTTGTAACTTCTTCTGAAGTTTTACGAAATGCCAAAAAAGCAATTTCAGCCAAGCAACCAATTATCAAACTTAAAATTTGCCATTGCCTCCTTTCGTGTCAAAACGGAGGCCGATTTCTCCAGACTTGCTGGAAGTTATTAATTTCTTAGAGAAACTGGACTCTAAAGTCTAGACATAAAAGGACGACCTTTAATTTTGAAAGGCCTTTTGGCATTCCTCGTCTGTCGTTACACGAAACCATGCACCTCTTTGACCTCCTTCGTGAATTTCATCTTGAAACTGGACAAACATGTTGCTGCACTTGCCCCTTCCGAAGGCCATCCGAGTCAGTAATGTTGATTACAAAGCGTGAATATGAACGAATCTTTTAAATCAATACCTACATACCAGCAAAGGTCCTCCTACAAGATGTAAAGATGTGAAACGGTTTTGTTCAAGTCAAAGGAGCAATTCTTGCGGCAGTTTGTGTGTACAAAGTATGCCATGAGTTATGTGGCGAGGGAGATATGGGTTTCGGAAAATATGGAAGTGATGTCTGTAAAATATAAGCACAATCCATATTTCTTAAAGTCATACAGTTTTAATCCCAAAGTTTCACCCCTTGGTCATAAATCGTGGTTTTCACGAGAACTTTAGTCATCCTTTCAACTTGACCTGCTAAGTCTCCGTTGTTATTTATCAGCCATCCGTAAATTGGCGCTGGATCCTGCTCCACTTCATAGCTGCCATCACGTTCAACCACGCCTCGTTTGATTAGGTCTGCTACTGCCCGTTCAGCGGCTGTTGTGACTACACTCATGTCCTGTGGGAATGCCACTTGTCCCATGGTGAAAGGTCCCATGTAATATATGGGCGCTACAGGATCTTCAGTACCAGGAACCAAGGAGAAATTGTTGATGTCAATCAGGGCACCAGACGGACGGAAATAGTTGATCCCATCCCGCGTCACAACGTTTGGATGATCTTCATGATTTTGTGATTCTTTGGCATTCCGAAAAGGGACCAAAATTTCTTTGATGAGCTTCGCTTTTCTTAAAGATGTCGTCAGTGGGGAGAAATCTTTCTCAAACGCTGCCTTCTGACCAGTGGCATCGATCATGACGTCATGATGCGCCTCAAAAGTGGTATCTCCGTCGGGTTTCCATGACAATTTGATGCCACTTCTCCCTTTTGCTTCTTCAATTTCATACTCTTTACCAATCTTCTTAACTTCAAGGTGGCCGTCCTTCATAAGAACCAGGATCTTTTCAGCATTTTGAACTGGGAAGGGACCAGTAAGCAGATGCAGTTCAGTCTTGATTTCCTCAAACCGGATGCGATCTTCCGCTGAGAAGTAGCTGAAGGCCTCGTCGAATACTGCGTACGACTGATAAAAGACATTCTGTAGAAGAACTGGAACGCCAGTTTTCAAGCTCTCTTTCGCCTCTTCAAGCTCACGGCTTAATCTCTCCACCGGATCAGTTGTTTGCAGTAGCTTTCTCATTTCAGAAACAGCTTCTTCTAACGTCACCGTTTCCCAGCAGTCTGGCAGGTACGCACGAAGTCGAGGAACTTCATCGTAGATCTCTCTTTTTAAGAGATACCAGAAGTCATCCAGTGGAAGAAAGCCATCATTCGCTTCAATGATAGGAATAAAAGATGCAGGTGTCAGGTATTTGTGCGTGAAAATCTTGTTTACAACCACGCCCATTACTTGAGGAAGCATTGCCTTGCGTCCGTACATTGTCATCTTGAATCTTTCTGCTCCTTTAAAGGGTACGAACTTCAAGCTGCTCTTGCCATTTTGATGCATCGACTGAAATGATCCATTCTTTTTACTTAGAGTTAGAGCAGTGTCTATTGCCGACAACGAACAGCCAAGTATTCCCACGTTGCCCCCAAGCTCGGTTCTGGCCTGGATGTCTCGTGGTGGAAAGGGTGAAGGAAGCCAGTGTGGAAAGTCCGGGAACCTGTTGTAGGTCCAGTGTCCTGTCGCAACAAACAGGTTTCTAGCAAAGGCTTTGTTCTTCTTGTCAAGATCGAGTTCATACCCATACGCACCAAGAACGCTTTTAGGTAGAACGGAAGTCACCTTGGTCAGACGCCGGACATCCACTGTGAATCCCTTTTCTCTGAGCGCCATCACAAACTGATTGAAGCGGTCGCTTAAATAGAGGCCTACCACAAATCTAGGAAATGGTTTATTCAGCCAGGTGGGGATCTCGCTTTCTTCAATTCCCAAACTCACTCTATACTCTGGAGGGAGGGAGCGCAGCCAAAGTAGAAAGTCAGATTTTTCAGGTAATGGAATGTAGGTGGCCGTAATCTGAGTGCACCCGCCAGCAATATTCACGATATGATCAGGAATGGTCATGTATCTCGAGTACGGCATTCCTGGTCCTAGGTCTTGGGTAGACTCCACCACCAGAATACGGAATGGCCCCTTTCCTTTGGGAATCAAGTGCAAAGAAATTTGGCCAAGTACCGAGGTACCGTAGGCGCCAGCTCCCACTATTGCGATATCGTAGACCGGACCAATACCGTTCATCTTTGATCGTAGTTTCGATATCTGGAAAGATCGAAAGCAAAGTGAACGCGAATTAAAGATAGATAGATAGATAGATAGATAGATAGA